AAGGAGGTTCTGATAAACATTTGCATTCACCTGCCATGTATAAGAGGCCCAACTCCTGCTGCACAAAACATCCCCCAAACCATGACACTTCCTCCACATTTCACTGACTTCTTTACGCACTCGGGGTTCAGTCTTTCCCCAGTTTGACACCAAACATAATATTTCCCATTTGACCCAAATAAATTAAACTTGCTCTCATCACTAAAGTGAACTTTGGACGAGTTCTTCTCTCTCCACACAACATGCTTCTCAACAAAGGTGAGTCTAGCCTTTTGATTCTTTCTGCTGATGAGAGGCTTGGTCACTGCAGAGTGCGCTTTCAGTCCGACTTCTCTTAAACGTGCCGAGAGAGATTCATACCCTTTTTATCGCTGAACTGGCGAGCAATTCCAGCTGCAGTGTTGAACCGATTCCCCATTGAGAGTCTCCGCATTGTCCTGCCTTCTCTTGCATTGGTCTTTCCTGGACGACCAGCCTATTTGGGGGACTTGAATGAATTAGTGTCATTGTAAAGCTGCAACATTCTAGAAATCACAGATTTGGAATGAAGCTTCTCTTGCAATGGCTGAAAGGGTCATCCCTTTGGCCTTCATCTGGACCGCTTCCTGTTGTAGGGTTTCAGTAACCTTAGAGCAATCATCTTGCAATCTCAGTGAAAATTTGAGGAATGCTGTCAGTTAAATATTATATTGTTTATAATTATTATATTGTATATAATTATATTGTCATATAATTAAGGAAATTTGCACTAGGTGCCAGATTAACACCAATAACTTGTAGGTATCTGTAAGTGTTCTCTAATTTTTATCAGAGTTCTTTTTCAAATATCTCAAAAAGATTTTTATACTGTGCTTCAGAATACAATTAATTTATGAAATATGCTTAAAAAACTGCCCTTCTACTCCTGATAGGATAACTTCAAATAGGACTAAGCAGTGACCTTGAAATTTAGGAAATTTAAGGTTGTTCTGTAATTTTGATCTCCACTGTATATGTCAGCTGTGGTTCCGTTCATATACCCACTGACTCGCTTCGGTTATAGAATGTGTTTGTCACTGTTTTTCATAACTAAACAGAAGTGTATTTAACTGCTGTGTGAAATAAGAATTAGATTGGCAGTGACTCTTGTGGCTCTTAAGAGCTATAGAGAAGGTATGATGAGAGGCAAATTTTGGTGTAATTACAATACCACTGAATGATTTGATCAGTATAAATTGACATTTGCTCATAATGAGCATACAAGATAACACCGTGGCTCATATATTGAAGCAGATAAACCTTTCAGGAAACACAAAGCCCTCTTGATTTGCAAATTGTTTCTCTTTCTGTACGATAATACTGTAATACTTCACATG